TTACAAAGTGAAGTGATGTAAGGAGGGAGAGTTATGGAGAAAAGAGAGAGGTAAGAGGTGGTGGAAAGCAAAGTAAAAAAAAGAGCAAATGAGAGAGTGGGTGAGATGTTATCAACAAATTTGTTGAAAATAAGGAAAAAGTTTTGGAGTGAGATTTAAAAAAGTTAGAAAAGCTAGAGAAATGGATTTTAGTTTAAAATAGGAGAGGGAGTTATAAAGGGAGAGTTAGAGTATTGGAAGATGGAGGGATATATTTTGAGGAATTGTTAAATGTTTATGAAGATAGGGGAAACTGTGATTCGTGTATAGGGGAAGGAGGAACAACATCTGAGGAAGAGCAGTTGTAGGTGTGAGGGGAAATTCGTGAGGCAGTTTGGTAAAATGAAAGGGGGTTAGGCACCGGGATTGATGGGATAAAAAAGAATTTTTAAAAGCAGGGGGGGATTTAGTTTTGGAAGTGGTTGGTGCAATTAAATTTTAATAAATGTATGGAAGGGGTAAGGTACTAGGGATTGGCAGAGAGCATGATAGTTCCTTTGTAAAAAGGGGAAAGGGGATAAAAGAGGATGCAAAAAAATTATAGGGGGATAAAATATGTTGAGTTACTGGCAAAGTGTATGGTAGAGTTTTGTTGAAGAATTAAGAGTAAAGAGGAGAATAGGATAGCGATGAACAAGGGAGGCTTTGGAAAGGTAGGGGGTGTGTGGGCCCGGTGTTACAGTTTAAACTATAAGTGAACAGTATTTAGATTTAAAGGGGAAAGAGGTCTTTGTGGCATTTATGGATTTGGAAAAGGGTTATTAGAAGGGGGATAGGGGGCAATGGGCAGATGTTGCGGGTATGTGTAGGAGGTAGGTTACTGAAAGTTAGTGAAGAGTTTTTATGAGGATAGTGAGGCTCAAGTTAGAGTATGTAGGAAAGAGGGAAATTATTTCCCAGTAAAAGTAGGCCTTAGACAAGGATGTGTGATGTCACCGTGGTTGTTTAATATATTTATGATGGGGTTGTAAGAGAAATAAATGCGAGGGTCTTGGCAAGAGGCGTGGAGTTAAAAGATAAAGAATCACACATAAAGTGGGAGTTGTCAACAGTTGCTCTTTGCTGATGACACTGTGCTCTTGGGAGATTCTGAAGAGAAGTTGCAGAGATTGGTGGATGAATTTGGTAGGGTGTGCAAAAGAAGAAAATTGAAAGTGAATACAGAAAGAGTAAGGTAATGAGGATAACAAAAAGATTAGGTGATGAAAGATTGGATATCAGATTGGAGGGAGAGAGTATGGAGGAGGTGAATGTATTCACATATTTGGGAGTGGACGTGTCAGAGGATGGGTCTATGAAAGATGAGGTGAATCATAGAATTGATGAGGGGAAAAGGGTGAGTGGTGCACTTAGGAGTCTCTGGAGACAAAGAACTTTGTCCTTGGAGGCAAAGAGGGGAATGTATGAGAGTATAGTTTTACCAACACTCTTATATGGGTGTGAAGCATGGGTGATGAATGTTGCAGCGAGGAGAAGGCTGGAGGCAGTGGAGATGTCATGTCTGAGAGCAATGTGTGGTGTGAATATAATGCAGAGAATTCGTAGTTTGGAAGTTAGGAGGAGGTGCGGGATTACCAAAACTGTTGTCCAGAGGGCTGAGGAAGGGTTGTTGAGGTGGTTCGGACATGTGGAGAGAATGGAACGAAACAGAATAACTTCAAGAGTGTATCAGTCTGTAGTGGAAGGAAGGCGGGGTAGGGGTCGGCCTAGGAAAGGTTGGAGGGAGGGGGTAAAGGAGGTTTTGTGTGCGAGGGGCTTGGACTTCCAGCAGGCATGCGTGAGTGTGTTTGATAGGAGTGAATGGAGACAAATGGTTTTTAATACTTGACGTGCTGTTGGAGTGTGAGCAAAGTAACATTTATGAAGGGGTTCAGGGAAACCGGCAGGCCGGACTTGAGTCCTGGAGATGGGAAGTACAGTGCCTGCACTCTGAAGGAGGGGTGTTAATGTTGCAGTTTAAAAACTGTAGTGTAAAGCACCCTTCTGGCAAGACAGTGATGGAGTGAATGATGGTGAAAGTTTTTCTTTTTCGGGCCACCCTGCCTTGGTGGGAATCGGCCAGTGTGATAAAAAAAAAAAAAAATATTATATATTCATGGCAGATGTAATATTTAAGATTGTGTGGCAAGAATATTGTGCACACAATGTGGTGGTATAAGTGTGATTCAGAAAGCAGAGGAAAATTTTTGAATATGATCATTTACAAAAGGATGAAGATGGGCTTATTAAGATGGTGAATATGTGCAGGGTGGGTGAAGTGGTTTAGGTAATGTCCTGGGAAGGATTGGAAAGAAGTATACCTGAGCATGTTAAGTTGGAGTGTGTCGTTTCCATGATTTGAAGTGCTGTTAAACTATGAACAATGTAATAAAGGACTTCTGGGAGAACCAGTTAGCTGCATTTGAATTTTGAAGGTGAGAATAACAGTGTATGTACTCTGAAAGGAAGATGGGGATGTAGTTCAGAGACTTACACTTCTGGTAAAGACAGCAAGGAATGTGTAATGGACATCAACTGGTTAACCCTTAAATGGTCCAAACGTATATATACGTTTTTTCAACATCTGAAAGTATGTAAAAAAATGTAGATCTTTTTTGTTTTATATTTGAAAACGTGTTAAAAAAACTTTTATCTACTTATTTTTTTTGTTATATTTGAAACTATGTAAAAAAAAACATAGATCTACTTTTGGAGCACTATGAATTTGAACGTCGATCTGTTTGGACCGTTTAAGGGTTAAAAGAAAAATCCACTAGGTATCACCAGGAAAACTTACTGTATACAGTAGGGCCCCACTTATACGGCGAGTTAGGTTCCAGGCTGTTGCCGGAAAGCAGATATCGCCGGAAGGCAGAACTCCATTTTTTTCCATTTATAAATGCATATAAATGCCAGACAACAAGTTTACACTAAATTATATTAAGTTAATAATAGAACTAGGCATTAAAAACACACAAAGTAAAATACAGTCACAGTAAATTCATTACTTACCTTAAAGTATTTGTAATCTTAATGTAGGGAGAGAGGTGAGTAGTACTTATTTGAAGGAAGTCAGGTGCAGGTAGCCCAGGTGTAGGTAGCACTGGCTCCCCGTCTCATACTTAATATACGATATTTAAAACATCCCAGAGAGGTAAAATACACATACAGTACACTCATTATTTACCTTAAAATATGTGTAGTCTTAATATAGGAAGAGAGGTGAGTAGTATTTATTTGTATAAAGTCAGTGTAGGTAGCCGGTAGGTGTACCGGCTACCTACACTGTGGCCCAGAGCCATATTATTAACATCGACATGCCTTGTTCACTGAATTTAATCATTTCTAACAACTACCTTTAGATGCCATCATAAACGAAGGTAGAAGTAATGAATAATTCATGCCGAAAATTGTAAACAAAAGCAGAGTGAGGGAGTGGCTGGGCCAAACGCAGATTCATACACGTTTTCTATGATGGCTGAGCAGAGAAATCGTAATGTTGTCCCTCCACCCGGCTACCACACAGGTCCACAAGTATTATTATCAGAGCACACACAAAATATGCAATAAATGCCAGACAACAAGTTTACACTAACTTATATTAAGTTAGCAATAGAAATAGGCATTAAAAACACAATAAAAGGTAAAATACACACAGAGTACACTTATTACTTACCTTAAAATATTAATATTAATGTGTGAGAGGTGAGTGGCAGGGTGTTTATTGAATAAAATCAGAATGGCACACCATCATCCTCTAACTTGGCACTTAAAGCAAGAGGCTTACGACTTCTCTTTTTATTACAGCTAACCTTAGACGCCATCGTCAATGAGAGCCAACTAGTTAACGAAAGAGTAAACGGAGAGAGAGAACGAGATACAGAGTTGAGACAATGTAAGAACACAAACTGAACAGGTAGTGGACGATCACTTGGTCAGGCGAAATAAATGCGTATTAATATGTGTCTACTTTTAGTTCATTCACGTCCATTTATAAGAGTCTGTAAAACATTTACCTCAATATTTTTTTATTTTAATAATAATTACCTCACAATACAAATACTCTTACATTGTGTACAAGTTGTACAAGTTAGTTCAGAATAAACAAACAGCAACACACCATTTTCAGAGTGAATGAAAATAATAATATTAATAATAATAATAATATTATATTATTATTAATAATAATAATAATAATAATAATATTATTTAATAATAATATTATTATTATATTTATTATAAAAAGCACTAAACCCACAAGGGTCGTGAATTGCTATACATAGAGTAAAGGCATACGAAAAGAATATTTTTCTACAGTTACCCCCCAAGTGTTTGACTAGAGAAAACGTAATTCTTCCGACACTACCTACACAGCTGCTTTGTAAACAAATCTCATATTTACATAAATTTTTATTCTGAGTGTATGTATCGTTGTATCATGTTTATATGCTATGTAATGGGTTTCATATATAATTTTGAGGAAAATCTCATAGATGGATTAATGAAAATGCCTATATTGATGTAAAATAAGACATTTAGTGTGCCCAAGAGTGATTATTATTACGTAGTATTGGCGTCATGACTAGAGAGAGACTTAGCGATTTTAATGTGTACCTGCACACCAGCACAGTGTGTAAGTATATTTAGGTACAGGTACACATAAGTATAATTATTAGAGTACATATAAAATATGCAGTAACTTTAAAACACTTGAAATTTTGGAAAGTTTCCTGACATAATAGATGTGGTCACGGAAAATGTAAACAAACCGGGTGGGGGGGCGCCACATTTGAAAGACCGCTTGCCGTATAGCAAATTTTGGTCATAATTTGACATCGCCGTATTAGTGGAACGCCGTAAAGCGGGGCCTTACTGTATTCCTGGAATGCTGTAGTCTACTATACATGGAAAATATATTCAGGATGCAGCAATTCTTATGCTTTAAAAAATAGAAGAATTAAGGAACAGTATCCACAACATACCCGGCCTTCCTTCAGAAACCATAAGCGGACATAGTTGACAGACCCTGTCACTATGTAGTTTCCACTGATATGCCAGCAGATGTTCAAAATCCGTCCTACCAACAAAAAAATGATGGCATTAATACAATTAATAAAAATTCATATTTTGGCATATTTGCAGTTCTCTTTCATAAGATGAAAACTGAGAAAAAAAAAAGTGAGCTAAATCAAATTTCTATTATGTGGGTCTTCTTTCACTTAATATGCCCTATTCTTAATGCACACGTCATACCTCACTTACAAAAGAAGCAAATTTTTTAACGCACTATTAATATCACCAAAAATATGAAATAGTTAAAGAAATGCCATGGTACAATACCTAAAGTATTTATTGTAATAAGTACTGTAATCATGTATATAAATTTATGGATCATGTTTTAGCATGAAAGACAAAGAAAAAAAATTGAACCAATACAGAAAATGTCCCAACCCCAACACCTGTGAGATTTAAAAAAGCTAGAAATTTGAGTACAGTCATGCCTCATATATATTGGCACTTGCTATAACCAAAAAACTTCTAGTTTATTGGAAGATCTCACTGGTTCCGACCAATTGCGAATTAATTGTAAATGTTATGCTTAGCTGAGGAGCCCTATCTTTTTTCTCTTCCTTTACTCCTCCCCAATTTCAATCCCCAGATGAGGCAGTCATTCCATGTGGTCCTGCATGAGTTGGGTCTTTTCTTTACAAGAAAAATGAAAGGTGAAGTTTTGTATACAATTCAGTATAGAGAAAAAGAGATCTAGAAAGAAGTTAAAGAATAATCCTGGATTTTAAAATAATGTGCAGAACTAAGTTATCCACATTACATTTTGGGGATTTAATAACAAGGAAACCTATCATACAAATGGAAAATACTGCAAAAATATTTATAGAAAGTGACAAGGATGACTGCTTTAACTAAAGACTAGTTTCATAAACAAGCACTGGTATAAACAAAAACTCAGAAAGACCCACTAGAGACATGTACAGTAAATAAAACATCTTGAGGGCACATTCCTGCTCAACCAAACAGTTTAAGTTAGAGATGTAAAATCCAGTCAATCAGCTGTAATGATAAGTGAAGAACAAAACAGATGGACAGACTTATGAGATAAAGGAAATCGCAATGACTGTGCAGCTCATAGAAGTTTTAGAAAAAAGAAGTGACAGATCATTGATACAATTTAATATATAAATGACATGTAATGATAATAACATAGTGTAAAGAGGCCTCGTGAAGATTACAGATTGTATGGTGTATTCTAGAAAATATAAGAGAAAAAATCTGCTGGCAAATATAACTAACAGATTATAACCATAAAAAAATGAAGCATGTTATGCACTTTTCGTATGATAAGTGGATGTTTAAGAGCTTAAACAAAAATTTACAGCATGGATTAGACAAAAAATTGAATAAATAGTTCAGTACGGGTGTCCTCACAAAAAATAGATATAACAAATAAAATTTCAAAGGCATGCTAAAAGATTATTCCAAACGTTTAGAAATGTGGTGTGCAAAAGAAGGACGAAGACGTTGGAAATGCTAGAGTATAAAAGGATATAATAAAATAAAAGATTTCTTAGCACCTCAAATTGCTGAATGTATAAATAAAAAAGAAACTAACCTTCTTGTTTTTCCAGGGTTGTGTCATACATTATGCCCTCATCCATAATGTTAAATATGCACACATAGCCTTCCTCTGTTCCTGCCTTAACAACCATAAGATAAAAGCATTTTTAGTGAAATCTTCAACATAAACATTTGTTTTTTCTTTTATATACAGTACTGTATACAAATAAACAAGCCAAGATGTGCATGGTAGCAATGAGACCAAGAATGATGCAACTGAATGAAACTGGTTTCTAAGTGAAGTATCACAGAGCTGACAAATATGTTCCCATGAAAGGGCTAAACATGAGCATGGGAGTAGTTGAGTGAGATGCAGGAAGACAAATAAAACAAATTTAATGCCATTAAAAATACTATGAAAGTGCAGTGTTATTTGGTATATTTGCCTTTGCCTGTATCAGTTACCAGTGTTCATGGTAAGGTTGTGTGCCTTGACCCACAAATTTACTAAATCATTTGTGAACCATTGATGAATAGGTCAAGAAATTTTTGATTTATTTTTTTTCTCTATGGGCCCATGGACTAACCTTAACTGAACACAAATTGAAGTAATCTCTATGCTAACTTGAAAGACCTCATGTAAATTATTTTCCAAAGCCTACCAAGAGAAGTTTATAGGCCTACAGCTATTATCAAGTCCTTCAGTGTGGCAGCCAGTAACAACCGTAATACTTACTGCTAGATTCTTCTTGTCAGAAGAGAGTGCAAGACACCAAGTAGGACCACCAGTGACTGCTGTGCGTGACTTGATGCCCCCATTGGCCAAGTCATATTCCAAAATGAAGCCATGAAATCCAGCACTAAACAATCGTCCATTACACCACACCAATGCTTCAACTGAACTGTCATCACCACCTAAGGGAATCATCGATATTTTAAAGCAAAAGTGTACTATAATACGTATATGAAATTATTAGTAAAAGCTTTGTTGAGGTCTTGACCAAAACAAAATTCCCAAAAAATTTATATACAATCTGACACAAAATGTCTAAATGCTGTATACCCATCTTTAGCTTTCTAACATGCCCAAAAGTATAATGACACTGTTTCTGGTAGTTTAGACAATGCTGTCCTTTTTTACTACACTATACAGCAAAAATGGTTTCTAGGCAGGATATCATATGTGCAGTAAGAAAAGGAAGTGATCTGCCCCTAAAACTAAGCAGAATATGGATAAATTAAGTATGTGCAGAGGAGATGTGTAAGAATTTTTTTAGAGAATATGTATATAATTAGGTAGTAGGCTGGTAGACAGCAACCACCCAGAGAGGTACTACAGTCCTGTCAAGTGAGTGTAAAACGAAAGCCTGTAACTGTTTTACATGATGGTAGGATTGCTGGTGTCTTTTTTCTCTCTCATAAACATTCAAGATTTCTGGTATGTATGTCTTGCTACTTCTACTTACACTTAGGTCACACTACACATGCATGTACACACCCCTCTGGGTTTTCTTCTATTTTCTTACTAGGTCTAGGTAGGTAGGTAGGTAGGTTAGGTAGGTAGGTAGGTTAGGTAGGTAGGTAGGTAGGTAGGTTAGGTAGGTAGGGTAGGTAGGTAGGGTAGGTAGGTAGGGTAGGTAGGTAGGGTAGGTAGGTAGGGTAGGTAGGTAGGTAGGTAGGTTAGGGTAGGTAGGTAGGTAGGTAGGTAGTAAGGTAGGTAGGTAGGTAGGTAGGTATGGTAGGTTATGGTAGGTAGGTTAGGGTAGGTAGGTAGTAGGTAGGTAGGTAGTGTAGGTAGTAGGTAGGTTAGGTAGGTAGGTGGTAGGTAGGTAGTTAGGTAGGTAGGTATAGGTAGGTAGGTTAGGTAGGTAGGTAGGTAGGTAGGTTAGGTAGGTAGGTAGGTTAGGTAGGTTAGGTAGGTTAGGTAGGTTAGGTAGGTTAGGTAGGTTAGGTAGGTAGGTTAGGTAGGTAGGTTATAGGTAGGTTAGGTAGAGTTAGGTAGGTAGGTTAGGTAGGTAGGTTAGGTAGGTAGGTAGTTAGTAGGTAGGTTAGGTAGGTAGGTTAGGTAGGTAGGTTAGTAGGTAGGTAGGTAGTAGGTAGGTAGGTAGTAGGTAGGTAGTAGGTAGGTAGGTAGGTAGGTAGGTAGGTAGGTAGGTAGTAGGTAGGTAGGTAGGTAGGTAGGTAGGTAGGTAGGTAGGTAGGTAGGTAGGTTAGGTAGGTAGGTAGGTAGGTAGGTAGGTAGGTAGTAGGTAGGTAGGTAGGTAGGTTTAGGTAGGTAGGTAGGTTAGGTAGGTAGGTAGGTAGGAGGTAGGTAGGTAGGTAGGTTAGAGGTAGGTAGGTAGGTAGGTTAGGTAGGTAGGTTAGGTAGGTAGGTTAGGTAGGTAGGTCAGGTTAGGTAGGAGGCTAGGTAGGGGTTAGGAGGTAGGCAGGTTAGGTCAGGTAGGCAGGTTAGGAGGCAGGCAGGTTAGGCAGGCAGGCAGTTAGGCAGGCAGGCAGGTTAGGCAGGCAGGCAGGTTAGGCAGGCAGGCAGGTTAGGCAGGCAGGCCAGGTTAGGCAGGCAGGCAGGTTAGGCAGGCAGGCAGGTTAGGCAGGCAGGCAGGTTAGGCAGGCAGGCAGGCAGGCAGGTTAGGCAGGCAGGCAGGTTAGGACAGGCAGGCAGGCAGTTAGGCGCAGGCAGGTTAGGCAGTTAGGGCAGGCAGGCAGTGTAGCAGGCAGGGTGCAGGCAGGTTAGGCAGGCAGGTTAGGGCAGGCAGGTTAGGCAGCGTTAGGCAGCAGGCAGGCAGGCAGGTTAGGCAGGCAGGTTAGGCAGGCGTTAGGCAGGCAGTTGCAGCAGGTTAGGCAGGTTAGAGACGGCAGGCAGGCAGGTTAGGCAGGCAGGCAGGCAGGTTAGGCAGGCAGGCAGAAGCAGGTTAGGCAGGAGGTTAGGCAGGCAGGCAGGAGGTTAGGCAGGCAGCGTTAGGCAGCAGGCAGGCTGGGAACGCTTGGAAGCACTTGACTTGTACTCGTTGGAACGCAGGAGGGAGAGATATATCATAATCTACACTTGGAAAATCTTGGAAGGAATGGTCCCAAATCTGCACACAGAAATCACTCCCTACGAAAGTAAAAGACTGGGCAGGCGATGCAAAATGCCGCCAATAAAAAGTAGGGGCGCCATTGGTACACTAAGAGAAAACACCATAAGTGTCCGGGGCCCAAAACTGTTCAACAGCCTCCCATCAAGCATTACGGGAATTGCCAATAAACCCCTGGCTGCCTTCAAGAGAGAGCTGGACAGATACCTAAAGTCAGTGCCGGATCAGCCGGGCTGTGGCTCGTACGTTGGACTGCGTGCGGCCAGCAGTAACAGCCTAGTTGATCAGGCCCTGATCCATCGGGAGGCCTGGTCATGGACCGGGCCGCGGGGGTGTTGATCCCCGGAATAACCTCCAGGTAACCTCCAGGCAGGCAGGTTAGGCAGGCAGGTTAGGCAGGCAGGTTAGGCAGGTTAGGCAGGTTAGGTAGGTTAGGTAGGTAGGTAGGTAGGTAGGTAGGTAGGTTAGGTAGGTTAGGTAGGTTAGGTAGGTTAGGTAGGTTAGGTAGGTTAGGTAGGTAGGTAGGTAGGTTAGGTAGGTTAGGTAGGTAGGTAGGTAGGTAGGTAGTAGGTAGGTAGGTAGTAGGTAGGTAGGTAGGTTAGGTAGGTTAGGTAGGTTAGGTAGGTTAGGTAGGTTAGGTAGGTTAGGTAGGTTAGGTAGGTTATAGTAGGTAAAGGTAGGTTAGGTAGGTTAGGTAGGTTAAGTAGGTTAGGTAGGTAGGTAGGTTAGGTAGGTTAGGTAGGTTAGGTAGGTAGGTTAGGTAGGTAGGTAGGTAGGTTAGGTAGGTAGGTAAGTAGGTTTGGTAGGTAGTAGGTAGGTAGGTAGGTAGGTAGGTAGGTGTAGGTAGGTAGGTAGGTAGGTAGGTAGGTAGGTAGGTTAGGTAGGTAGGTTAGGTAGGTAGGTTAGGTAGGTAGGTTAGGTAGGCAGGCAGGTTAGGTAGGCAGGCAGGTTAGGCAGGCAGGCAGGTTAGGCAGGCAGGCAGGTTAGGCAGGCAGGTTAGGCAGGCAGGCAGGTTAGGCAGGCAGGTTAGGCAGGCAGGCAGGCAGGCAGGTTAGGCAGGCAGGCAGGTTAGGCAGGCAGGCAGGTTAGGCAGGCAGGCAGGTTAGGCAGGCACGCAGGCAGGCAGGTTAGGCAGGCAGGTTAGGCAGGCAGGTTAGGCAGGCAGTTTAGGCAGGCAGGTTAGGCAGGCAGGTTAGGCAGGCAGGTTAGGCAGGCAGGTTAGGCAGGCAGGCAGGTTAGGCAGGCAGGCAGGCAGGCGTGTGCATGCGTGTACAGCATCTCCTCACTTAGCGACGTACTTGTTTACTGATGACTCGGACTTATGACGGGCTCTCTGACCAGTGTGCACATCTAAATAATGTATATTAGAGCCGATTTCCTCTATTCTGTTTATTACAATATACAGTACACTACTATATAAACATTTAAAAATATACTAAAAATGTTATAAATGGTGCAAAGGTGACATTAAAACAATATCAAAGATGACTGACACAAACCCACTACCATTATGGTATGCTCCTCATTTAGCAACGAATTCATTTACCAACACGGTCTTAGGAATGGAGCTCCATCGTTATGTGAGGAGAGGCTGTAAATATAAGCATAGTAACAGCTATGAATGACTCAGGAAACCCGGTTAGTTAGATATGATCATTAAAAGAGCATCATGCAGTGACCATTTTGAAAGATGTGTGTGGATTGGAGGTTCAGTGGGTTATCTGTGGATCATGATGTCTGTATTCCATTTTTGAAAACAAGCTAGTCATAAGTGATAGTGAATGTGATTTCTTCTTTGAATCACCCTGAATATAGAAGGAAATGACAGATATGTTAAAAATAAAATAATAAAAAACATGAACATGTGCATTGCATAGCTCTATTAATGTAACTATAAATACAATACTGTACATAATTACACACAGACACAAATATAATGTATTCTTAAAACCTAAAACTTATTATCCTTCTCTGTAAAAACTAGCAAGTGTTGTACTGTCTGTCAGAAAATTATGCAAAACAAAATTACATATATTTCTCTATGAAACTCACCAGGTAGAACTAACTGCACAAAGGGTCGCCTCTCACAATTCCATATTTCAACACTCGCATCAGCCCTGCAAGTAAACATGAAAGCTCAATATGGATGCATATTTAGTGAGGAAAACTCACATTTTATAAAAATAATACTAGCATATACAGTGGACCCTCGCCTAACGCTATTAATCCGTTCCTGAGAGATCAACATTAGGCGAAATTATGGTTAGGCGAATTAATTTTCCCCATAAGAAATAATGGAAATCAAATTAATCCATTCCTGACACCCCCAAGTATGAACAAAAAAAATTTTTTACCACATGAAATATTAATTTTAATACACACAAACTGAAGAAGACATGCATAGTTACATGACACTTACCTTTATTGAAGATCTGGTGATGGTTGATGGGATGGGAGGAGGGGAGAGTGTTGATGGTGTTAGTGTTTAGAAGGGGAATCACCTTCCATTAGGACTTGAGGTGGCAAGTCCTTTTCCGGGGTTACTTCCCTCCTTCTTTTAATGCCACTAGGACCAGCTTGAGAGTCACTGGACCTCTGTCGCACAACATATCTGTCCACAGAGGCCTGTACCTCCCGTTCCTTTATGACATTCCTAAAGTGTTTCACAACACTGTCAGTGTAATAGTCACCAGCATGGCTTGCAATAGCTGTGTGAGGGTGATTTTCATCAAAAAAGGTTTGCACTTTAAGCCACATTGCACACATTTCCTTAATCTTTCAAGTAGGCAACTTCCTCAATTTGTCTATCCCCTTCTCCGAAGCAGTTTCCTCAGGTGTGGCCTCTTGCTGTTGAAGATGATCTAGCAGCTCATCAGTGGTTAGTTCTTCATTGTCCTCTCCACCAACTCTTCCACATCCTCCCCACTAACCTCCAACCCCAAAGACTTCCCCAATGCCACAATGGATTCCTCAACTGGCATAGGATTCTCAGGGTTAGCCTCAAACCCTTCAAAATCCCGTTTGTCTACACATTCTGGCCACAGTTTCTTCCAAGCAGAGTTCAAGGTCCTCTTAGTCACTTCCTCCCAAGCCTTACCTATAATGTTTACACAATTGAGGATGCTAAAGTGATCTCTCCAAAACTCTCTTAGTCAATTGAGTTTCTGAGGTCACTACAAAGCACCTTTCAAACATAGCTTTTGTGTACAGTTTCAGGCATTTTTCTAATTAAATCATCATGCAACTTCCTAGCCTTTTCACATATGATCGCTTGAGAGATGCTATCTCCTGCTATCTGTTTTTCGTTTATCCACACCAATAACAGTCTCTCAACACCTTCTATCACTTGCGATCTCTGTTTCGAAAACGAAGTTGCACCTTTGGCAAGAACAGCTTCCTTGATTGCCGTTTTCTTGGCCACAATAGTAGCGATGGTTGATTGGGGTTTTGTGTACAACCTGGCCAGCTCGAAGACAAGCACTCCACTTTCATACTTAGCAATGATCTCTTTCTTCATATCCATAGTAATTCTCACTCTTTCTGCTGTAGGGTTGGCACTAGAAGCTTTCTTGGGGCCCATGGTGACTTATTTTGAAGGTGCAATCACTAAAAAGGCTGTGATAATATGAAATGTTCCGATTGTATGCTTGGAAGCGACCGCGGTGGCTGGCTTGTAAACACTGGCAACCACAGAACAAGTGAGGCGGGCTCAGGCCGCACATGGGCGCATCTCGAACGAATCGCATTGAGCGAGTTTTTTAGCGCTAGCCGAGGCAAAATTTTTGCATTAAAATACACCGCTAGGCGGATTTAACGTTATGCGATGCGTTTGTTAGGCGAGGGTCCACTGTACTTGACATAAAAATTTATGAAAAATTCATTAAGTTTGAGAGAATTATACTACATGCAATGCTCATATACTTTATCCTGCCCTGAGAAACCAGGAGCCACTAGAAGACCTTATCATAAACTGATATGATCAAGGCACAATACAATATTAGTATTAGGATTGAAAACTAGGTGGGGTAGGAAAGCAGCTCATGCAATACCTTCTGTTATATATAAAAAAGTGTTAAGGAAAGAGACGTATGAATATTATTATTATTATTATTATAATTATAATCATGGGAAAGCGCTTAACCCATAGGATTATACAGCACCTGTGGAGGTGATGGAAGGTATTCAGGCTTAATTCAGGGAACTGGAGCACAGATCCAATTCCCTAGATCAAGAGCCCCTCACCAGCATCAAGGAACCTCCCTTGAAGGGAATTTATGCATAGATTAAAACATTTAGTAGGGAAAGGTTTCATTAATAGTGGCTACATCAGCCTTAACACTGTACAGAGTAAGCCAGAACAAGTAGTATACAAAGTACAGTGGGGTAAGTTTTTATTGTTAAGAGTATTACATTTATGGGAAAGGGCTAAGCCCTCAAGGGTCGCACAGTACCTGGGAAAAGGGAGGTACAGTGGAACCTCAAAAATCGAACTTAATCCGTTCCAGGAGCTAGTTCTAAATTTGAAAAGTCTGAAATTCGAAGCAATATTTCCCATAAGAAATAATGGAAATACAGTGGACCCCCGCATAACGATCACCTCCGAATGCGACCAATTATGTAAGTGTATTTATTTAAGTGCGTTTGTACGTGTATGTTTGGGGGTCTGAAATGGACTAATCTACTTCACAATATTCCATATGGGAACAAATTCGGTCAGTACTGGCACCTGAACATACTTCTGGAGTGAAAAAATATCATTAACCGGGGGTCCACTGTACAATTAATCCGTTCCAGAAACCCAAAAATATTCACACAAAAAAATACATTTTATAGAGATTAATTACAGTTTTACATACAACAAATACTATAGTTTTTAATTATGTATAGTAATACATATAAAATAACATTTTTACTTACCTTTATTGAAGACTGGTGATGGCATCTGGAAGGTAGGGAGGAGGAGAGAGGGAGTTGGGGTTAGTGTTTGAAAGGAGAATCCCCCTCCATGAGAACTTCAGGTAAAGCCCTCTCTGGGGTTACTTCCCTTCTTTGTCTTTTAATGCCACTAGGATCAGCTTGAGAGTCACTGGACCCCTGTCTCACAAAATAACTGTCCACAGTCCTCTGTTTCTGGCACCTCTTTAACATTTCCCTAAAATGGGACATGGTTCTGTCACTGAACTTGTTGCAAAGATGGCTTGTTTAGCTTGCTCAGGGTGGTACTTCTGCACAAACATTTGGACATCATTCCACTTGGCACAAATCTCCTTAATCTTTGAAGTAGGCCCCTCATCCACTCCCTATATTAACACCTTTTGCAACATCAGCTTCCTTGATTTGTTCTTTCTTTGACAGGATAGAACCGGTGGTCGACTTGTTTTTCCCATACATCCTGGCAAGCTCAGCAAGTCTCACACCACTCTCATACTTCTGTATTATTTCCTTCTTCACATCTATGGTGTTTCTCACTTTCTTTACCACAGGGGTACCACTAGCAAGTTTCTTTGGGCCCATGGCAGCTTATTTCACAGTCCCACAAGCACTAAACACAACGAAATAATCGTAAAATGCGTGAATGAGAGCACAGGTTAGTGTTCACTCAAGCATAAACAAAGCTAGACTGCTCACGGCGCCTGTGCGGGGACGCGGACAGAGCTGACGGCAGACAGGTCCCGTACCCAGCAGTCCGAAAATAGGGGCGCGTTCGATAATAGGGACAGAGTTTGTCTGAAAAAATGGTCCTATTTTCGAAACGTTCGATATGATGGAAGTTGGATTATTTGCAGTTAGGTACCTGATGTAGCACTAGGTTTAATAAAGGGAAATTGGAATTCATATTCAGGTTTTAAATTGTCAAGAAGATGATATGAAGGCAGTCTTTGGGCCCAATGTAGTGAGTCGCTTGAACAATGGAAAACGGGTATTAATTCATAATAAGCAATAAATAGAAGAGTTTTGAGAAGGCTGCCAAAAACTGACTAGAGGACTACTCCGCACTTCTGCTGTGGTAGGACACTGGCAGAAGTTAATGCCACAAACATATGTAGAATTCGGAGACTTTAACTTAAGTGATGGAACCCATTAGGATTAAATGTGGACAAATTAGGGAGTGTTTGAAGGTTATGCAGAACCACAAGGGAAAGTAGCCTCTTACCTTAGATGCAAATGAACCCCTATACATCAGAAGATCTCCTGAGAGAGAATGGTTGTAGCGACAAAATTTAGCATTTTACATTGAATGGAGAGAAGTAGCGATAACATAACAGGGGGCCAGTCGCTTAGCGATTAGATGGGTAAGAAATTATCTGTTGATGGGGACGAGGGTTCATAAAGTTTTTGAACCATAAACATCTGTCAGAGCGTTAGCCCTGACAAGAATTGACTGAAGTTGAATGGCCCAGACAATTGGTGAATGAATAGGCCAACATATCTATCACAGGGTATGAAAGGAATTATAGGCATAAAATAGGAGTTCTTATGTCGTATATTCTTGGACAAAAAGTTGGATAAGTAAAAGTTTAAGGGACTGAAATGAAAGTTGAGGTCACTAATGCAGAGTTTTTTGGTTATGACAGTAGGTAAGGTCTTACACATATGATGGGCTATGTATGAAATGGTGACAATGTGATTTAAAGCTATTACTCATTTACCAAGAAACATACTTGTCCCACGTTTAATATTTTACATGGGCTGAATAAGAAATTTGTACATAAGGTCATAGGAGTGTTGTTGAGGCAATAGGACAGACTTAACAAATAATGCCGGCTCCTGATGAAGATTTTTTCAAGGATTTTAAAGGGGAATAAAATGGAATCAGTTAACATTAATAATATTTTTATTTATCTCTTCAAACAGGTGTAGTGTTTTAATGTGAAGATGGCTAATGTAACTATTTTAAAACAGGGGAAAGTCGTTACGTAAATTACCGCCAATAAAAACGACCTCAATTGTAGGGCAAAATACTGGTCAATTTATATCTGAGATATAAGAAGCATCTCGATAAGCATAGCTGATAATGTAACCCGCATGGGGGTCACAGAGGGCGGTCTTGTCTAACTAATTTAAATTTAAATTTCTTCAGTAAAGTTTGAGGCTGTTGACCCCAATAAAGAATGTGATTTTTTACTTAGATTTTAGTTTAAAGGTTTTGATAGAGTTCCGCACCATGACTGTTAAAGAAAGTGGCAGCCCATGGCATTGGGGGGGAAAAAAATGCTCTCGTGGTCGGGGTCAGGTTTACTGACGGAAGCAGAGAGTGTCCATAATGGGGTTAAATCCCAGTGGGATCTGTAACAAGTGGCGTTCCACAGGATCAGTCTGGGCCCGGTTGTTTTATAATATTATCAATGATTTTTGATGGGAATTACTAGTGATATGGCAATTCGCCGATGCACAAAGAGGTGGATAATTGTTCAAACGTAGAGTTAGGGAACTTTAGGAGGATTTAAACAAACTTATTCTTGGTTCAGAAAAGTGGCAGATGCAGTTCATTTTGATAAGTGCAAGGTTCTGAAGCTTTGGGGGTGCCCAAACCCTAGTACTATAAATTAAATGATTAGAACTTAGCCATACGATTGCGAAAGGACTTGGGGGTTTGGTGAGCAAACAACCTTAAACCAAGACAGAAGCCAAGCGACTAATAAGGGGAAATGATTACCGGATTATATCAAGAAGTGTAAGCAAAAAGAAGTCCAGAGGTCAACTGCAGCTTTATACACATTAGTAAGGCCTCACCTTGATTTTGCAGCTTGTTTGGTCTCCGTTTTTACAAAATGGACATAAAATTCTTAGAAACATTCAGCTAGGATTGGGCTAAATTATTACATAGCATCAGGGAAAAATTCCTTATGAAGAAAAGATTTGGGCTTTTAAGTTACATTCACTTTGTTAGAGGAAAAATGGTGAGGGGGGACCGATCGAAGTGTATAAGGGAAGTAGGTATTAATTTAAAAGGGTATTTAATAAGGGCTTGAGGATGTACTCCAAAGAGGAAAACCCCCAGTAATGGATTTATTGATAAGTTTAGATTTAGAAAGGACATTTGGAAAGTATGTTGGAAATGGGTAGTTGATGAGTGGAAAAAGTCTACCTAGTTGGGTTATTGAGGCTAAGGACTTTGGGTTTTTCAAATCTTGGTTTGGATAAGTACTGAGTGGGAAGGGTTGGGTTTGGTGGGGCTTTCACACAGAGCTTATTTCTTGGGGGGCATTGAATTGGGTTGGGTAAATGTTTTGTTGTGGGGGGGAAATTTTAAAGGACCTGCCCAGTAGGGCCAGCAGGCCCCCCCTGCGTGTTCCCCTTTCTTTTTTTTTATGTTATACTTCGTTTTTGAGGTCCCACTGTAAAGGGGTTTTAAAAAAGGTAAATGAATATCGTCCTAATTCCTAATCAAGAGCCCCTTCATCAGGAAAGGCATCCCCTTTGAAGGCCATGAGTGAGGGGGAAAAAAGGGGGAAAAAATGGATAACTTCATAATAAGGGAAAAATAAATAGAAGATTGGGGAAGGATCTGCCCCAAAATGAGTAGTGGGCTACTGCACTTTCCCGTTAGGACACTGAGATACTACATGCCACACATATATAGCACATTACGTATGCTTAACCTAAGATAACCCAATAGTTAAAGTGGAAAAATGGGAGGCATTCAAGTTCAATGCAAGAAAAGGAAAGTCAGGCCTAATTCCTTGGATCAAGAGCCCCTCACTAGCATCAAAGATCCTCCCTTGAAGAGAATGGTTTTATATAATAAGTTGAGCATTTTTAAATTCATGAGGAAGTGCTAAACATACAAGGGGGCACAGTGCTTAGAGAATGGGAGGGATATCTGTGATAGGCTTTAAGAGTTTTCCTACATCTGCAGCCTAGCCCTGGACAAGGCTTGACTGCTGTTTGCATGGTCAACCAGACCATTGGTGCTGGCAGCCCACTGGCCCACATATCTATCACAGCCCGGTTGATTCGGCACTTGGCATATCAGGCAGTGTTACTGGTATCTTCTGGCAAGATAGTCTGGTAAGATAAAATGTTCTCAAGGACCGAAATGGAAATGAGTCACTTTGTCTGACTTTTTTGGGTTATCCTAGGTAATCTACACATATGATGCTATGTATGATAATTTGTGCAACTGTATTTATGCATACCTATACCTGAATAAACTTACTCTTGTGCCCACGTTTCCAATACTTTTCATGGCAATCAAAATTTGATCAAAGGAATGGGAGGGTAGCTCTCGTTGGATCAAAAGACCTTCACTGTCATCAATGCATTGCCTCCACTGAGGTAAGTAAGTCTATTTAGGTACAGCGACACAAATTTAGGCGACTATAATTATCATACATAGTAACATATGTGTAAATTACCCAGGATAACCCAGAAGTCATACAAAGTGATTTATTACCAATGGGTCTTTTAAAAAATTGTGAAATGTTACAGGGTATGGTAATACAATAACACTTTTACACACTTCAAAAAAAAATTGTTGAGGAAACATTCGACAAGTAGCTGAAATGTTCCACCACAAGTGGTTGAAGCGTTCCCCCACGAGTGGGTGAAATGTTCCGTCACGAGCGGCTGAAAAGTTCCACCACGAGTGGCTGAAACATTCCCCCACGAGTGGCTGAAACGTCCCGCCACGAGTGGCTGAAACATTCCATCACAAGTGACTGAAACATTCCACCACGAGTGGCTGAAACATTCCATCACAAGTGACTGAAACATTCCACCACGAGTGGCTGAAACGTTCTGCCACGAATGGCAGAATTATTATAATCAAAGGGGAAGCGCTAAACCCGTAAAATTATACAGCGCCCGTGGGGGGGGATGTGGAAGGTATTCATGTTTAATTCATGGAACTGGAGCACAGATCCAATTCCCCAGATCAAGAGCCCCTCACCAGCATCAAGGAACCTTCCTTGACGGGACGAGTGGCAGAAGACGACGCTCTTGGCGAAATATTTCCTCCACATCTTGAGCAGCGCGTGTCTTCTCAACCCAGGGTAAACCTTATTTGACTTACCTTGAAAGCGCCAGCCTGCTGGTGCTCTCTTCGTAAGCCATACACTGTATGGCTTGAGGCTCGAAGTCATAGAAGCGCACGTTGTGAAGGGTGAACTCCCCCATCTGGAAGGACTTGATATTATTATTAAGATTTACCATATCAACAACCGCTCGTGTTACTTTGTTGGAGTGGAGGTTAAGGGCCACCCAAGTGTACGTCCTGTTGAGTCCTGCCTCCCGGGAGTCCGCGAAAATAATATTGTAAGTTAATTCAGGGATACACAAATACAGTTACGTAGATTATCATACATAGCAGCATATGTGTAGAGAACCTAGGATAACCCAAAAATGTCAGATAAAGTGATTTATTTCGGTTGAGGTCCTTTAATTTCCAAGTACGATTAAGATTGTACAAGAATGGTATACAATACCGACAAGATGAAATTAAGACACATGTGCAACATCTGGGTATGATTGTAGCCAAAGTATAAACGTAAGTAACCATTCTACAGAATTCATTACCTTTGTAACTTGTGAGCTCATTACCTTTGTACCTAGTTCAGCTATCAAAACTTTGGGGGCCCAGTCCCTGGACCCATTACGTACCTCTGTAATCTGTAAATACCTTTGTAACTTGTCATGATTGTGACCAGACTTACCTGGAGTTCATTACCTTTGTAAATTGTGAGTTCATTACCTTTGTAAATTGTGAGTTCATTACCTTTGTAAATTGTGAGTTCATTACCTCTGTAACTTGCTCAGCTATCAAAACTTTGGAGTCCAGTCCCTGGACCAATTATGTACCTCTGTAATCTTTTGACTACCGCCCACAGGATGGGTATGGGGTGCATAATAAACATATTAAACTAAACTAAACTAACTGGGTATCTTTATTGTAGACGTTTCGCCATCCAGTGGCTTTATCAATACAAATTCGTGGTCGTGGAGAATCTCCACGACTATGGTGCTCTTCGTACCAACTCCAGGGTTGAGGGACTGATTACCTCATCTTCTGTACATCCTGGGGGACAAGATTAAGGACCCCAATGGAAATAAGTTAGACAGTCCTCGATGACGCACTGACTTTCTTGGGTTATCCTGGGAGGCTAACCCTCCGGGGTTAAAAATCCGAACGAAATCTTATCTTATCTTATCTTTCAACTGTCTTCAAGTTATGTCCTGGAATTTGTATTGATAAAGCCACTGGATGGCGAAACGTCTACAATAAAGATACCCAGATGTTGCACATGTGTCTTAATTTCACGATTAAGATTCCTTATTCATCATGATACAACGTTTGTACAAGGGTGTATGACATTTAGGTGTGCATGCAGCATCCCCTTAATATACAGATCATTCCGGGCAAACTTAAGCCTATCTTAAGATTATAAAGCAATAACTAAGTGATTGCTTAGATATACAGTCTCTTAAGTGATAGTAAAAATAAAATTAGGAATTGCAATGAATACAAGAGAACTGAATATCATATTAATACATGCTATATAAGTTTTTTCGATTTTTTAAATTTTTTTAAAGGGGAATTTACAGGTTGGATTACGATTATAGGAAAACCTTTTTGGGGAAGAGATTTTTAATAATTTCACTAAAAATGGATACATTACAAATTTTTTCAGGGAAATTCCCTTTCCCATGGGAAAGCGGTTGCCGGGCTTACTTTCATATTAGTGAAACCCAAGAAAAATTGATGTCATTGTTTGCAGGAATGTAAAATTGAAAAAAGGAGCCCCTCCACCAAATTTGCCGGGGTATGCAGCTTAAAACCCTAAGGTCAAAAATGTTGTTTTTGATGTATGTCAGAAAGAACTGCCACATTCACCCCCTTTCCTTGCGAGTCGGGGTTAACATGATTTATCTTGGGGGTAAAAGTATTGCAGGCGTTTTTTTCCAAAAACCCTTTTTTTAATCTCTATGCCCCAGCGAACCGTTGGGATGATGCTTTACCAGATCGCTTCAATGGGTAAAACCCCTCCCCATCTTTCTTGGAGATTTTAATCCCAGACAAAAGAATATTGGTGGGTCTTTAAAAACCCCAAGGGAAAAACTAAATAGTGAGAACTGTTGAATGGCATGATAATGTTCGAATTTTGGGGGGCACTTGACCCTACTAAATATGGGGGGTTATAGATCTGTGTCCTGGTTTTTAATACATCATATGGGATGCATGACTTGTCAAAGTTGATGATCTTCTTTTCTGTCATTTCCCCAAAGACTAACAACTGCCCCAATCTTGAATCCCCATCTCCAGAAACTAAAGGAGAAAAATACAAAAGGGAAAGGAAACTTATTCTCAACCCGAAAAAGAGCCCAATTTAAAAAACCCAACTTGGATAAATTTGGTATAAGAATTGGGACCCCAAACTGGCCAAAAAATTTTAAATTTGTGTTTTAAATTTACCATATTGAGAGTGTTCTAAACAGATAAGTGGGCAGGAATGGGAAAAACAAAGCCCCTCCACTAAAATAACAAAAAAAAACCCAAATGAAAATCTAAATGATCCACGCTGCGCAATCTAACACATGCAGCTGGGAAAGGTTTGGTAAACCCTACCGTAAATTGTAAAACCCCCAGACCTCCCTCAAAAACGTTCCAAGTGACTAAAAAAATGAAAAGGAATGAAAGGAAGAACTTAGGAAAACAGGAAGGGGAAAACCAGTTTTTTAGGGGAAAAAATTTAGGTCCCCCCCTTTTTGGTTTTTGGGGCTTGGAAAGGTATAAATAAAAAAACCGGGGAAAAAGACGGGCCCAATTTTGTTCCCTTTCCTCTTAAAAAAAGCAAATGCCCTCATAAATGACTGGTCCAAAACATCCGGGCCCTGAAACCCTTCCATCTCATATTAAAAAAAAAATTAGAGAGTACTTCTGAAAAAATGTTGAAAATGTTTAAATTTTATGGCCAAAATATTGATGAGGTGATTCCCTCTTTCCCGGAGTATGAATTGGGTAATGAAATAAAAAAAGGGTTTCGATCAACTGTCCTGGAGAGGATGGTAAAACCCTATGATATTTTTCAAAAACTCAAGGGACGTGCCTGAAAACCCTTTGTTGGCACTGTTAATTCGGGTTCCATTGGGGGGCGTTTTTTCCCTATTTCCGGGGCCCAAAAGGTTCATTGGGGCCTATCCCTAAGCCCCAACGCCTGTTTAATTTAGGCCATTCCTTAACTAGTTGTTTTTGAAAAATTTTGGGAAAGAATATGCTTAACAGATTGTACTACAGAATCAGCCCATCAATTTTCCCCCCTACCTCTATGGGTTCATGAAAGGAAAGTGTGCAAACTGTATTTCCCCCTTTCTCACTGCAACACCTCTCAAGTTTTACCACTTTTTTTGATTTAAAATCTGCATTTGATATTGAAAACCCAAAACCCGTTTAAACATGAATAGCCAAAAGGGAATGGGGGGGGGGTTTGGTTACCCCTGCTGGTTAATAGGTTTCCCTGTCAAAAGAGTATCCTCTGCCCTTTCCCAAAGGCTTCAAAAGGTGATTTAAAAAAATTTGTTTTTGGGTTTTACCCGCGGGGGAGGATTTCCCTTAGCCCCATGCTATTTAATATTCTGTTTAATGCTCTCCTAAATGTTTCCCCTGCCTCACCTAAAAAAATTAGCTAAAAAGCTTGCTGATGATATCATTTCCATAAAAACAGGGATAAAAAGATAAAACCCATTCAAATGAATTTAAAGGGCAATTTGTAATCGAAAGGCCTCAAAATATTTCCCCCAAAAAAACAAAATATTAAAAAGCAAACGACATCCCCCCCACTTTTTGCAGGGTGAAATCATTAGCTACTTTAAAAAATTACAGATTCTTGTGTAGATGTCCCCTTTAAAAAAATTCCACTATCCCAAACAATAAAAAGAAATGAAAAGCTGGGCTAAATCCCTTCAAAGCTGTTGTTTGGCAACCCTCCCAACTATGGTGCAAGGGAATCGTGAGAATAAAGTCAAACCCTGTTAGGCCCTTTAAATTTTTTTTTGCTGCTCCCATGTTGATATTAGCTGGAAGTTCCTCCGCCCCTTTGGGTTTTTAAAAAAAAAATTGAAGCTCTCGGGAATTATTCTTGGCTGCCCAGATCTAAAAAAAAGTTTTTAAACATGAGGAAGGAGTTTGGGGTTATTTCTAGTACCCAGTGATGGATTGTTGAAATTAACACTGTATCGGTTTAGAATGTTGAGAAAGAACCAGAAAATTTTCACAGGGGAATCTTCCCAAAGGGTGTCTACAGGAAAATTACACCAGATCAAAATGGTTTGTGAAAACGTGCAATTGTTTAAAAGTTTTATAACCTGCATGAATGTATCACTGTAGGAAACCAAGAGTTTCACCCCCCCATGGAAGATGTGTTCTTTTTAATTCACATACCCAAGTCCCTCCCAAAAAGGGTCATTGCTGTAACCCCTTTCCCTTAAATCTCTTGAAAGGAAAACTGCTCAAGAAAAAATTTTTTCCCCTAGGGGTTTAGAAATTAAGTTATCAAAAGTTTTTTACACTGATATCTAAACGGGGAGTTTCTGGCAGGGCTGCATCTGCTCTTGTTCCCACCCCCCCTAGTTAAGAAGGGATAAAAAAATTGAGTTGGGAAAAAGAATTAAAAACTGGGCGTCTACATGCAAACTGAATTGTTTGAACCCCAATGGCGCAAAGCAAAACCCTAGCCCTTTTGTTTTTGGGCCCTATTCACCCTTAAACTGATTTATTTCCTGAAGGCTCTTGGCTCAAAAAGACTCCAACAACTGTTTCTTTGGGGGAAAAGCCAGGTATAGATACTCAAAAATTAGGGAAAAAGGGGGAAAATTTAAGGGTAAAATTGCTAGGACCCATCACCCCTTTGGGAAATTATCCTTCGGATAAAGTTGATTTTTTAAAGCCAAAAAGGGTTAACCAGAAGGGGGAATTAAAATTAAACTTTGGGTTTAAACTGTGTCTGCATTGGAAAAATTTTAAGGAGAGAAGTAAATAAGGGAAGATGTTTGGTTATGGGAAATGCATTTTAGAAGCCTGGTAGATCTTTTCCCCACTATGATAACAGGGAACGTAGATAAGTTGTTTAGGGAAAGCAACTTGCAATGTGAACAGATGACGTTTTTGTTAGGGGCCCAAGGCTTAGGCTTGGTTACAAGTACTTTGGCGTTTGGGGACACCAGTGATGATCAAACTAAATTTTTAAAATTATGGGGATCGGGGCATTGGTACTCTCTTGAACACTATGTGTTTAAATTGTCCAT